CGTCCGTTCAAAACAATTGTTTAAATGAGTTCTTTAGTCAACGTGCTTATCAGTGCTGACTTGTTAGATGGACAGATACACTTACTCGTGGAGTAGCACTGATTTATGTGTCTAATATCTTAAATATGACGAATTTTTCTGGCAGCTCTACTACTAATAATTAAATTGCTCTTTGAGATATCAACAACGCATCCTCCTTCTGAAAAATGTAAGCTGAAACAGTAGTATTTATGGTGTTAATCAATGTTATACAATATCACTCGATTGCTTGGCTGTAAAGGTTATCGCCGGGATACTGCATACGGATTTTCACATTGTGTAATGGGTCCAATGAGCAATTTCCCGGCCATCTGGTGTTCACCAAAGTATTTAGGACTTGAAAGGGTGATTAAAGAAAGGTGGAATTTGGCCTATATATGGCATCAGTTATGTAATAAAAGAAATAGTCCGTTGCGAATCATGAAAAAGAGAAGATGGCTACACCAAAGACAGGAGGAAATGATTTGCTTATAGATAGAACAAAAACTGCATTGAGTTGGACATAGCAAACGACCTGAAACAGTGAAAATTAGAAAAAAAAACATTAATTGTCAATAGTGGGAATGAGTCAATCCAGGTCATTACCATGACCAAAGTCTATTGCATAAAAGTTCACACTATGGACAGTCCATTGCATTTAAAGTCCAGACAAACAAAATGAATGATCCAACGCAAAATATTAGGAAAAAATTAATTAGAAGTATAAAATTCAATTGTTCACGGGTGCCAGGCCTTGTTGGTAGTCTTGGTTCCTGACAGAGACACTAATAGTACACATTGCTGACGAGAATCACACGGGCTGAGACAGTTATAGAGTGCTCTTTTTCGGTTGTCACAAGGCTTCTTATCACTCAGAAGCTAGAAGTATATTTTGGAGTTTAAGATAAACTGGTTTTTATCAGAATTTGTGTTACACATGTGAACGAGGTCAATACGTTGCATGGACAGATGAATGTAATTAGATACATGAATCTGCTTCATTATCACGATTCGATTAGGGCCATAGAATTGAAATCACTCGATTGATCCCACCTCATTTAGATTGTAACCTGTAAGATGTTGGCATTTGTAGCCGGTCTATGCTGATCCCGTTCCCCTATTGAGTCCTCATTCATGAAACTCTTTGTTTATTGATGTGTGGTCAGAACGAACGTTCCTCGTCAGTTTGTCCAAGACCACAACCACAACCCGGAAGAGTGTGACCGTATTTTGCTAATGGTGAACCCCAGAAGTAGAGACATTATTTGGAACCCCCACGTTAACGAACCTCATTTGAACATTCTACACTGATAATCGGAAACCACTGTGTTATATTGTATTGAAGCTTCTACAAAAAAAGACAAATCGCCATGACAAAAAACGAAAAAGAGTCGGATATCAAGTGTGCAAGCATGTCAATTGACTACTATATGCATCAGGAATCTCACAACAAGCCCTCCCCCCTTGCTGTCCGGGTAAGATAGGATACCCATTTCAACAAATCAGATATTAATCACTTTTTTAGTGTCAGATTTATCCGGATATGAAAATTACATTTATATTCCCCCCCCGTGTCCCTCTGTTTTATTCATTTGATCAGGCATATCGCAAGCGGACGTGGAGGAGGCTCGTTCCAGACCGGAACGGATCATGGCCCGAGATATCAAGAAAATGTACGATCACGGGGATGACTTGGAACAGTTGGATTCACAGGGAGCTGCTCCTGTGAGTCACACAACTTATCCCATGCAGTCACGTGAGCAATCGTCTGCCACGAGTTTGATATTATCTGAATAACCGTTAATACGTTGATATAAATAAGTTACAATGAACCGCAAGAAGAAAAACACAGAATCATGAAGTTTATGTGGGTTTTAGTTAGGGCGTTATTAGTACCTTTTCCCTTTATTGTTCCCTTTACCCATCCAATGAGATACTCTGGTATGTCAGTCAGTGTCAGAGCTGTTCGGCCCTTCAGTTAAGTAACTGTCACTAAGCTGTTATCAAGATGAAACAGTAATTAAATAGAATCCTTCAACCTATTCAAAGATTACTTTTTATTGCCTCAAATCATTTATCTACTAAGAAATCCCGGGAACTTGTTGGTGATTATTTCATTTGATTTGTTCCTGACCATTTCGAGCAGTGTCCTATCCCGTACGGTGAGAAATTTCGTCTTACGATCAAATTCTTGTCAACCAAAAGACTTAGTACTGTTCAGAAAATCACATTGTGCCTTTAGCTCCACTGTGTTCAATGGCATCTCGAGATGTGACTCTTGGGAAGCTCTAATAATATCGTCGAAATGATTTCATGTCAGTGTAGATTGTTTATCATCAAAATAACGGTCAGCATAATTGCTTCAATGCGAACTTATTTTAGTCTAACTTAACACGAAATCGGGAAGAACATACTACGACTGAATCCGTCTCGTCCGGAATAAAACTAGGGTGGTGGTGTTCAAATGATGAAGGTATTGAAGATAGCGATCCGGAGGTCCTTAGGTTGAATCCCACTGCTCGTATTTCACGACACTTTATTTGCCTAGCAAACGCTTCTATGTTTTAAGTCCCCTTCCTGGAAGTTTGCTATACAGATAACCAGGAATGATAATGTTCATTATTTGTATTATATCATATCTTAACAGAGGAGTCGCATAATAGTGGCAAGAACCCCGAAAAAAACCGTTTACCTCCTAGAACATACTGTCTAGACCCTGGGACACCACAACTGTCAAAAACAGTTGGGCGTAGAAAGTTGCAAAACAAAACCGTTTAGGTACCTTGTTAGATACATCGCATTGTTTCACGGACCGGTTGACGTTAGAAAGGTCATCTCATTCATACTCGAACTCGTGAAGATGCTAGTGCCCAAATTGGCTACGATACCTATGTGAATAACCTAGTGAATGCACCAACACTAACATCGCCAGTGACAGTTAATCAAAACGTTCAAATTCTTGGGATAAATACTCACACATATTTAGGAAAGAAAAACATCATCCAGTGGCATTTTTCCCATTTCCAGGTTTTCATTCTACCATTGTTTGTGATCCGATTCTGAATCGAACAATCCTAGGGAGATAGTTCATCTGTAATCGTCTCTCGTACTTTTTAACTAAAACAACCGATTTTCACCCCATCCATCCCCTAAATTTTTATCCACAATGTTTTATTCTGTAAATTCTGCCCACAGATCCACATTGCCGCCGGCTGTGGTTATCAAGAAGTTCTGACCATGTTACTTCGAATGGGAGTAAATCCGGATCTATTGGACGCGGACTCTTGGACGCCATCACATGTGGCTGTTTGTTGGGGACAGGTTAGTGAGAAGTTTAACTCTGCCAGTCAGCCCAATGTGATTCTTACACAGTGTTGTCACAGCAAAGCAATTTGGTTTCTCGATTACCTGTGACAAAGATTGTTTGAAAGAGCCCCGAAATGAGTACCCTGTGTGTGTGCGCGCATAACTCTAAAGATCCTGACAATCCTGATACCCTATTATTGTTATTAAGACCTCGGGTGTTGTATCGATCCGAATCCCTGTTTCCCATCATACAATGATATTACCGTGCCATTTTATCACGTTGAGTTGCTCTGTTTTCAATAAAAGCGTAACACAGCGTATTTAAGTAGGGTATACAATTCTGTCTTGCTTTATAAGGATCAAAAAACGAACTTTTGACGATATAATTTACTGGTTTACTTGTTTTGTAAATTTGCATCGTTAATACGATTTAAAATGCTCTTTTGAAGCAGTACGCATGCGTGCGTGTGTTTCTTCTCCCTGTCCCGTTGAACACCGGTAGAGTGTTTTTTTTGTCTCAAGTATTCACATGGTGCGTGTTTGTGTGTGTGTGTGTGTTTGTACGAAACCAATTTGGTTTGGTCCATGCATGTGCCACCCCACCTCCACCCCCATCCCTCGCCACCGGAGGTAGAATGTCAAATCTTTTATTTCGTTCAATTTGGGCAATACATCTTGTAACTGGTTTGATTGAATGAGTTTTCTGCACCTCCGTCTCAACTCTCATCTTTGTGTGTTTTCCCCTCGGACAAAGAGAGGTTCGTCGGGGAGAAAATTCATTGAACTAGGCGTTGTGTGAAAACAATCGGTGATTGAATAGAAATTGGCCTTTTGTGGGATGTCTAAATTAACTTCAACTGAGTTTTTCCAATTACGTTTTGGATGACATTCCCTTTCGATTATTTCGTCCATGGCCAATCGAAGTTTTAACTCTTTAACTGGTGTTATACTGAACAATGATAACAAATTATGTAGCTGATAAGATGCGATGGTTGAGAAGTTTTAATCCACAAAGGATTACCACCTGCATGGTCAAAGTATTGAACTTTCATACTGTTTAGATAGAAATAGTAAGAAAACTAGTACGACAACACAAGTTAGCAAATAAAGCTTCTTTTTGGAGAGTCACAGATTGACTGAAACTTTGTCCGAATATCATTTCAAGATGTGCGGGTACCATTCCGCGTTGTCTGAGCCTCATAGTGTCAAATCCGAACGACGTTCGGGGTGTATCGAAAATCCAGTTTGTGTTATCGCTACAGAAGAACCAAAGCAAGTCCTACCCTTCAAGTATTGATTAATAAAAATGACCATTTCTATTGTGTATTCGGAATGGAATGAAATATCTCTATCACTGAGATAACGTAACCAGGGCAGTCTAAAAATATTATAAATTTCGTGATAGTTACAGAATTTTATAAGAAAGTTCAAGTTCAATTATTGGAACGTTTTTTCGAAAATGCACGTTTCTGAGTACGGTCTGTGAATTTGCTAATCTCTATTACTATAATCATGTAGTCCCATTAAAGAAATTCTATCGCACATAGTAGGCCGGTTGATGTGAGGCTCAGGTGTGACATTCACAAAAGACTAATGCGAACTCGGTTCGAACAATCTTACCGTCAAATATAAGCTAACCGAATACCGGAAAGTTCAAACCAATTAAAGAGACACTTTAATGTCTCGGTTAAGTTTCCCAATGGCAGACACAACCGTGGCCATTTCTGAAATGGTAATTACCGAAGCCAACGCCAGTCATAAATTATGAAAATTTTCAATAAATTATTATGTATAAGTATATCAGAACAGCCTCACTACACAATGCACATCAGCACTAAACAAACTATGATGCTAAAGTTGTCTTACTTTGTGTTCGTGACAGTCTTTTGTTCAATACGTTTGCGGTAAATGAAGTGTGTACCTTTTTTATTGGTTTACTGATAAATTCTCTTCCTTCCGTCTCCATTGTGACGAACAATAGAAAGAAATATCCACTTGTGTTTTACATGCGTGTCAAATGATCAGTCGTTTCGACGGTCACTATGCCCATTCCAAGCAAGATAGCAAAACGCGGTTTAGTCCTCAAATATAGCGCTCTAAAATATGTGTACAGTGGCGTCCAGCTGACCATTTGCTCGTGCTAAGGGCCTCGTAGTTGGGGTCATGGTTTAGCTTAAGTGTGATCGAAGTGGATTAACCGGTGCAGTGGAACAACAAACATTCCACAGTATTTTTAGAAACTCTGCAACTGAAGTTAAAGACACCGTTTGAATATCTGCGCTACATTTTATATTTCTTCCCTTTCTGTTCGAAAGTGTATACGTTACCCGAATTTGGAACGGGAAATGTAGAACATGTACAAGAAAAAAATTGAATTTCGGAGTCATTGGGCTATTTCGTCCGTGTGTTTGTCGTCGTCTAGTAGTACATAAAAAATTCGATCCTATAATATTCCGATAGATAGACATGCAATGGAATGATTACGGAATTGCATTCATGCTGTTGATATATATATATATATATATATATATATATTTCAAGTCACGGAAACATTGGTAACGACTCTGTCACTTCGTTTAGCAAAATCCTGTGGATCAGG